TCGGAGAAAATACAAATACAAATTGTTTTGTATTAAAATGAATACATATTAGGACGAGAGAGGCGAGCGAGATCGAGAGAGGGAGGAGAGATCATACATGCATGTTGTATTCATTGTATTTTTCACGGGTTTTGGAGAAAAAATACATATACAAACTGATTTATATCAAAATGGATACATATTAGGAGGAGAGAAGCAAGCGAGATCGAGAAAGGGAGGAGAGAGCTTGAATACATGTGGTATTCATTGTATTTTTTTCGCGGGTTTTGGAGAAGAAAATACATATACAAACTGATATTTATCAAAATGAATACATATTAGGAGGAGAGAAGCGAGTCAGATTGATAGAGGGAGGAGAAAGGATGAATACATATTGTAATCATTGTATTTTGCAAGTTTTGGAGAAAGAAACACATATACAAACTGATTTGTATCAAATATGAAAAATACATATATAAACTGATTTGTATCAGATGTGAAAAATACATATAGCGATTTATCTTACATATCATATGTTTGCTTTTCCTTGCCAATATTTGTTGGGCTGACTTGTCCACAGTCCAATTGATTGGATTGGATTCGACTAAGATCTTACTTTTGCCTCATAAAGATAAGGTATTTGTGTTGAAAAAAACCTCGATTAAAGTGTGTTAAAACTTCTCCCAAAAACAAGGGACCATATTATATCAATTCGAATGTGTTATATTATGATTTTCAATCATGAACTTTTTGATGTTACTTTAAATCAGATTATTAAGTATATAGTATGTTCTTGAAAAGATCAATTGCCTTTTATTAATCGACAAGAGGTATCAATTTATTGGGTTCATTCAATCACATTTACTATGCCACTGTCTAATTTTAAGAAAATAATTAAGTTCTAATCTAGTCAAATTATCGATATGTGAGTTAGCTAGTTTAAAATATTAAGTTTACAAACTCTAATATATATATAGTAATATAATCTATTTATTTGATCAATAGTAATATTGTTTGTAATTAAAGCTGGTAAACATTAACCCTTATATTAATGTAAAATTTACCTTCTTTTGAATGCTCATAATTGTTATTTATACATTATAGGTAAGGTTTAGAAGGACGATAAGTTAATGAACTAACGTGCTAATTAATGCCTTGTATATCAGAATCCGACTCAATAGCTTTTTCTAATAAATATAATTTTGTAAGTACAAACATTCTAGAGACAAAATTACGTATCGAAAACAGTCTTTCTACTTCATTAAAAATAAGGAGTGTTTTGATAATTGTGATCGATGATGCACTAAGTACAACACCCTCTACAAAACAAAATGAGAAGCTCCAATGAAAATACCACCTCAACTCTCTATTTTTAGTAACCTCCATTAACATATTTTTCCTAATAAACTAGCTTCAATTGCTAAGAAAGTTAGATTGTGCTTATGACCGAGGCAAATATTACAGATTTAATAAATCTGATGATCAATAATCATTCAGACTTGGTAAAGATTATCAATAGTACGAATTGCATTATGTAACCATCTTTCACCTTATTATTTAAGCTATATTCAATTTCCACAATTTTATTTAACTAGTAGTTAATGTTGATATATTAGTCACAACTTGTATATTCCAATTTAGGGAGTGATATATTCTAGAGAATTTTCTTGTTTCTAGTTATCATCACAAACTAAGATTCAGAATCAGAATCTTGATCAATTATAAGGAGCCATACTTACTCGTATTCGATAATTATATAAAACTTAAGTAATTTCATCTTAACAATTAAATATTAAAGTGGCACATATTACCTAATCCTCACATTAATTAATTAATCAGACCAGTAACTTACAATATCAACCACTATATATGTTCTTATAATAACACCAAATTAAACTATGACAATAACTAAGCCAACATAGAAAATAATTAAAAAAAAAATCTTCTCTTAGATCCCTCCGCTTTTAAAAAACTTTAAAAACACCTCTCCAAAATCTAATTCACCTCATTTCTCACCCTTAATATCCACCATATGACAATTTTGTAATTTATTTATTCTTTGTATTCTATCTTTATAGCTTGTTGAACCATGTGAGTTACGTGAAAGCATGATACTCTAAATTCGAGATCACATAGTCATATCTATCAGCAACAAGAATACAAGACGACTTCTTCCTGTACGCCACTAAAACAGATAAAGCATATTATCTCAAATTATGGGTTCAAATCTTTGTTGTCTCAACCAAAAAGATTCAGAAATTCATCAACCAAATAGTAAAAATAATACTAGTACTCTTCTTCATCAAGAAAAATCTTTACACCAATTTTTTTTGGATTCACCAAATTACATAAATAACCCTAAAACTACTACTAAAAGGATTTATGTATCTTCACCATGTCATGAAGTGAATAATTCCAATTTTTATACACCAAGAATTAGTTTTTCATCACCAGAAGCTATGATGAATAAGGACTTGTTTGGTACTCCAAGAATTCGTTTTTCAGAAAGAGTTAGAAAAATTGAGGAGATTAATATTATTGGTGAAGAAAAAGAAGAAAAAGAAGAAAGGTTGATGAATAGAACACAAAGTGGGAAATTGAAGAAGAAAGTTACTTTTAAGTTGCCTCAAGAAGATGATATTATCATATTTTGTTCACCTAGAAAATCTTTTGAAGAATGATATATATTGATATGATTTTTTTTTAAAAATAGATCGGTGCACTAAAGCTTTCACTCTGCGTAGAGTCCAGATAAAGGCTAGATCATAAGGGTCTATTATACGTAGTCTTACCTTACATTTCTGCCAGAAGATATTTCCAAGACTTGAAGTTGTGACGATTGTTCCTCTATTATCTTGTTGTTTGTACAATTTATTTTATTAACTAATATGATACATTTTAGTGTTACCATCCTCCAAAAACAAAGAAACCGCTTTGGCTTTGCTAAAATACAAAAGAAAACAAAATCGGATAACTTAATAAGTTAACTCATAAGAGGAGAATAATTATTCAAAATCATATAAAAACACAACCAGGAACATAGAAAAGCAAATTAATGAAATTTTTATATATATATAACATGATTTTTCTATTTCATTCTCATTGAATCAGTTTAATGAAAAAATATATGGTAGGAAATATATTTTTAAAATTTCTAATTTTTCGTGTAAAAATACTGCTACTTCTTTTCTCATTTATTAATCGAAATCGAAATATTTGTAGAAATAATTATTGAACCAGACATGATATTAGAACCTTCTTGAATTGGACCCTTTCAACTACTAGCTTTTTGTTTAATTTTTTGCTTAAACCACAAAATAAAACACTTTATATACACCGTTAAAATGTACATCGCTCATTTTCAAGTAAAAATAAAAAAGAAAGAATAAATTGCTTTAATTACAAATTGGTGTATAGTTATCTTGTTGTGACAGTTTTCTGTCGAATCAAATTACAACACCTAAAATTACGTCAAACATCAAAAATGCTGAAAATGCATTTCAAATTAGTAACATACATCGAAATGTTATTTTGTAAGACGAGTTCAATTCTATTAGAATTTTTAAATGTTATTTTATTTTAAATTCTAGCTCACAGTTATATAAAAAATAGCATATTTTACATCTTGAAATTTTATAATCTATAACGTAGTATATTTATAGAGAGATAAAGATATTAAATATTATCTTTACTAAAATATTGATGTACTATTATAAAGAAGTCTAAATTATCCTTTATTCTAGAAATACGCTATCAATTTTTCAAAAAAAAGTTTAGAAAAAAAATCAAGTGATAAACAAATTATACTCACAGATATTCATCAATAAAATTATATTTTCTTTATGCTCAGATATACATGTTATTACAAAAAGATCTTCTGGTACAAAACTACAAACTAATGAAAAAAATCAAGGGGTAAATGTTAGGCATGGTAAAAAATAATTGAGTTATAGCAAAAATAACTTTTACCAATGGTGAGTAGTTGAAACAAAAGGTACTAATAAAAAAAGGGTACGTGGCAAATTGTTTTTTTTTTTGGCAGATTGATTAAAAAAAGTCAAAAAGATGAAAAGGAATTGAAAGTACCCTCCTAATTTAATTATAACCATTCACTTAATTTGTAGCTCCCCCTCCCCCCCCCCCCCCCCCCCTTTTTTTAGTAGGATGTCCTATTTCTTACGAAACTACCAAAAAACCCTCACCTACCTAAGCATGTGGATTTTATTTTTTTTAATTTAAGTGACGATGAGATTCGATTCCAGATATATGTCTCTATGATATTATATTTGAGTGTATGATCATTTCATCTACAAGTTTAAGCTCTTAGAGAGAACACACTTTTATTAGTTAATTATATTCTTAAACAATTATGACCTCTTCGTTGTGAGAGCAATATTCATGAAAAAACAATTCATTTCGGGTCTTAACTTAAGACATTTTTTTAAGAGTGAAGAAATCTTATCTATTTCTTACATAGTTACATTGCTCAACAAACACTAAAATTTAAGAATTATTGCACTTTTTTTCTCTTAGTATAATTAGTTGATTTTTAAAATATTAAGTTAAAGTTAATCTTATCAACTTTTCTTGAATTTTACTCCCACCTTATTTAAAAGTACAATGAATTCAACTCCAAGGAGTGTGGATGTACAATATAACATGTGAGTTCATTTAAACTCATAAATTTTTATTTAAACTCTTAATAAGTATTTTTAGAAATACTAAATTATTTTGATAAAATAAAATCAATTATTATTGTAAATTCACTTGAACTTATTACAAAGCTAGTTCATAAATTTTAAAACTTAAATTCACCTCCAACTTTAAAAACGATAAGTCGATATTATTAAAAGGTAAATCATATATCCGACTCTCGCCTAAATTAACCACCCACCCCACACCTTTTGGAGGGTAAAATCCTCATGTTAAATGTTATATTCCCAAAGCCCCCCACTAACCCCCACCCCAATTAAAATAGTACTACATATATCTCTCTTTCTTGTAAGTGTGATAAAAAGAAGCTCCCTATAGCTTTTGGCTTTGCTTTGCTTTCAAGCTTAGTACTATAACTATTATCTCTTTTTCTTTTTCTAGCCAAAATGGGTGCTAGGGATTTGCTAGTGGTGGCCATTGTTTTCACGGCGGCGACGGTGGTGGTGGCCGGAGATCCGGTGCACCATGTGGTCGGAGAAGATAGAGGGTGGGACCCATCTACTGATGTTGCTTCTTGGTACTCTCAAAGAGTTTTTAGAGTTGGTGATAAAATTTGTGAGCTTCTTCATTCTCCTTTCTTGTTTTTTTCTTTTTGGCTCAAACATTTTCATATGTATTAGTTCATGAATTTGATGAAAAAAATTAATTTGATGTACTAAACATCTCGTATTAACAAGATTAGAAAAAAGGCCACCCCTAATATTATTAGTTCATGAGTTTGCATCCTCTTGATCTATTTGTTAATGAAGTGGTTACTTGATACATGTTGCTTGTTGGTGGAAAGTGAAAGATATCTCGTGAAATTAATTAAAAATTCGAGAATGTCAATTTAGACATCACGATTATATAAAAATATTACTAATTCACGAATTTATCTATTATACACTAAAGTGTAAAAATAATATTATATAACTTAAACAATAACTATAGTTTTATGTATCTAGAAAGCGAGATTAATAATCTAGAAAATAAGGTAATATAAGTAATTTAAAATAAACTATTGATATTTATGCAGTAATAAATCATCTCATAAGTGATAAATAAAATTTTAAATATAGGAAAATGTTAGTTTTTGTCACATAAAAATACTTGAGCATTTAAATATTCTTTGATTTAAATTTTAAACATATAAATTTCAGATATTTTACATATTTTCTTAATAAAGAATATAAATAAAAAACTGAAAATCAAGTGAAATAATAAAATAAATTCGTTCTTGTAGGAATACTAATTATTACAAGGACAAAACTCGTGAGTCCCAAAAAAGTAAAGAGACAAATCAGGAAAATTGGCCCATGCTTTGGTTATGTCTAAACATATAGTATAATATTAAAAAAAATGTACCACGCATTTCTATGATTAATTTGAACACTGTTTATCGAAAAATTATATCATATATATAAGGCCAACTTATATATATATATTGAATTCTTTTGATATCTTTTTATTTTAACTTCTTTATTTGATTTTTTTCTAACGAAAATTATGACTCCGTTATTTTGTTTTTAGAAAAGGTAATTAAGTACTCTCAATGACTTTTGTATTACTTATACTTATAGATTTAGAGGTTTTTTATAACAAATAATCTCTCAGTTACAAAAATTTGAACAAGCAATGTGGTTATAGAAAGATTTGATTGTATTTCAAAAGTTCATTCAGATTTGATTATATGTTAGTTTGGCAGTCAGATATTAAATGAAATAAATTCAATATTAATGAACCTTTTAAGATTTTGTATGACAAAAGATTCTCTCTTTTCCTTTATCTATGCCTTAATAGGTTAGGTAAACAAGTAGTATAGTCTTTAATGTTACATAACTACTTAAATATTTTACTGTAATTCTAATTATTATCGTATATTTCCTTGAGGTCGTTTTAGAAACTTGTAAATTTCAAGTTCTAAACTTGCATATGATGGTCGGATTTAAATTCGAGATATTTTTTGTTCATTTGTTCAAGTCTTGATTGATAGAAGTAAATCATGCTTATGCTAGTAAGATATAGTAAATACTTCATAGAATAGCTAAAGTGATAGTAAATTGACTTAAACACCATCGTTATCCCAAACCAAAAATGTCATTTACTATTGGAGTATACTTACAATTTTGCATATATTATATGAGCAGGGTTCACCTACTCTACAACTCAGGAGAGTTTGGTGGAGCTGAGAAACGAGGAGGATTTTACATCGTGTGATCTATCGAACCCGATCAAGATGTACACGGATGGGTTGGATACGATCTCTCTCGAAGGGGTAGGAATCCGATACTTCGTTAGCGGAAACACGGAGAGCTGCAAAAATGGGCTGAAAATTCCTGTAAAAATCCAGCCCAAAGAGCAAATTATGGCCCAAAATAATGTTGCATCAATGGCTGTAGCTGATGGGCCTACAGTACCTTCTGCTTCAACAAACTTAAATGGGCTTTCATACATTTTGATTGTTGGATTATCAATCTGCTTATTGGGCCTTTAGATGAAAATAGCAATTATGGGCTGTCTAGACTCTATTAAGTAGGATTAAGTGCCACTTTATTTGAACTACGGTTAAATATCTTAATTTTGAATTATGATATTAATATGTCGTCTTTGTTTTGGCATAATATATTGTTGTCTTATTCAAAGAATGAATTTTGTTGTGTAGATGTATGAGTTATTCGAAGGGGAGTCTTGAAATATCGATAAAAGAATTAGAGTTAGAAAAATCCAATTAGTCATATTTTCAAAATTTTATAGACTAATATACACGAAAAATTTAGAAAAATCTTGAATTCTTGTTTTGTGATATTTAAACGCCAAAAAATATTGTAAATCATACAAAGGATATGAGTTTCGTTCACTAGGTCATTGCGGATAGTTTTAAAAAAATGGGATAAAAAAACTTCCATCATCAATCATATTTCCAAAAATGATTGATTAACACACACAAAAAACTGAGAAAATTTTAAATTCATGTTTTATAACACTTCTAAACGTTAAAAAAAGTGTTGTGAATCCAATAGAGACTATGAGTATCGTTCACTAGTTGATTGCAGTTAGTCCCAAAAAATTTGGATCAGAAAAATTCAATTAGTTATATTTTCAATAATTCATGGACTAATACATATCAAGAACTAAGAAAATCTTAAATTTCTATTTCTTAAATAATAAATGCTAAAAAAGTGGCGTTTATCATGTAAAAGTTATGGATACCATTCACTAGGTCATTATGAACGGTTCCAAAAAAATTGTGATCAGAAAAATCATGCCATTCATATTTCTGAAAATTCATAGACTATTGCACAAAAACTAAGATAATCTTCAATTTTGTGTTGTGACCTCTAAATATTTTATTTTTTTTAAAAGTGACAAAAATCTTGTAGACTAGAAGTATCATTCACTGGGCCATTATAGATGATCCAACCAATAAATTTCAATCAATCATTTTCCTCAAAATTCCATTCATGGACTAACGTAAAGGTACAAATTGAACAATTTCAAATAATACGTGCGCAAATTCATACCTTTACCATATTACTAATTTTTTCAAGAACAGTTAGGCACTTTCTGTAGTTTATTTGTGCAAAAATTTGATACAAGATAATATAATCTATGTGACAACCATAATTAAATATAATAGTTTCTGATCGAACAGTTGACTTTATGAAAAACTTTAATAACATCAACCAGAGGACATTTGATTAATCAAAATTATTCCACGTATACATTAATCTCTAATTTCTGGCGAAAAATGTCCAAATAACAATTACAATATAAATGTGATGGATAAGGACAAATACACAATAATTAGCGCAAATGGTATGTAGCTCTCTATGACGAAAAATTATATTGGCGGAGTATTTGGTCTCTGTCAGTGCGATTTACTATTCAAGAAATGATCTCCAACACTCAAGAAGACATGTTTTCCCAGAATCACCTCGACTGGAGGCTGGTTCTCAATGCACTTTACATTTATCTGCAAGGTTCACACAATAAGGGGTGTCAAGAATCATATCGTTAGCTATGTACAATGAGAGAACACTTTAGAAGACTTATGTGTTGAATTGTACGACCATCTCATCTTAAAAGTTTCACAATTCAACAGAGTATTGGTGCAGGCAAGATGTTCCGAGTTAAATTTTCACAGCCACCCAAATAACCAAGAGGATTCAGGCTCATACGCGAGGAGTATAATGAAGTAATTAAGAGTGATGTGATAACCTAGTCGAATTTTGTTGACCATCTAAACTTTTAGACGAGATGGTCATAGAACTCAGAATTATGAAGGTATTGTTGTACAAACCTTTCCCTTTCCTTGTTGAAACTCCGATTTCAGGTTATGATGATCCCTCATCAGGAGGTAAGTTTGTAAACCTTGACAATACTGTGTGTTTCCTGCAAGATGAAGATGGTTTAGAAACAGAAAACCACCTCAGAATAACCGAAATTTCTGAAACAGGAATCTCAAATTCGACCTCCGTATAAAGCGGTGATGGCATCTGCATTGAACACTAGACTTGGTCTTGCTAAGGTGATCACAAAGGACAAGTTTGAGATTCCATGGAAACTCTCTTCGTCAATAGTTATCTGCAACTTACATAACTTGTTAATCGGTGTACAAGAAACTATAGAAATATTTTATAATAGACAGTTCTCCATTCTGATCATGAGAGACGATTCAAGTGAGCAACTAGCTCTGAATATTAACACTCAGACAACTCGCTAAGACCTACTAACACAACGAGGAAGAGGCTTCAGAACTTACTGCATGTGAAGGGATCAGTTCAGCAGGAAGCAAAGGAGATCCAATGGCATCTTTAATATATGATTCCTGTAACGCCAAATTATTTATTAAAACGGGTGGACAAACAAAGTGACACAAACAAGTTCTGTTTTGGCAATAGAAGCAAGCATGCACTAGCTTTTAAAGAGTGAACGTGCACTAAGCTACTAAAAAGAAGTAGATAAGAAATTAAAGTGAAAAGAAAAAGAAAGAACCAGAAAAAAAAAATGGGAATATGGCCCTGACTAACTCAATATATAAGATGGAAACCCAAGATTCGACAATCAGATTCAAAATCAACAGAAACTGTTTCCTGAAGAACATCGAGTCATGGTTATCATTTTTTGTCAGAAGTGATAAAAGCCCCTTCGGGCTCCAGGATTAATGATTGTCATCCCCTTTGAACTTCGCTCTCTGGAGAAAAACCATTTCAACCTCACAAAGACATTAGTACGGTTCTTAAAGAACTATATAGTTCGAGCATATGATATTATGTTTTCAGTCTCTTCATTAATTTCTCCCAAAATCCACCACACCCAAAAAAAAAAAAAAAAGAAAAAAAAAACCTCATTTTTGTTCTCATCCTGCATCAAACACCAGTCCCCCCTTTCAATGAACTTCCATTCCTCCTGCCTTTTACATTCAGAAGTTCTCTTTTTCCCACCATCCTCCTTTATGCTCAATCCATGTCAAACTCCACCTGCAACCCCCTCCCCCCCCCCCCCCAAGAGTACTACCCTGGACGTAGGCTATGTCTGGGGAACATACTTGGAAAAAAAGAAAAGAAACTCTCAGCAGCTTACAACTCATTTTTCTCTAGCCAACTTATTATCTCTTATATTCCTTTAGTTCCCTATCCACTACTCTTTCCCATTGCTCCCCGTCAACCAAGTTTTGCTTCTTTCCATTGCTTTAGTTGATCCCCGCCCCAAAACAACCCACTTCTACCCCAAGCATAACAAAAGGAATGCTCATCTTAGGACATGAAGGGTGTACTTTCCAGTTGCCACCCCGCAAAGTATGCAAGGGGAAGTATCACAGCCAAAGACTTGAAGGATCCGGCAATTCTCTAGATCTCCTTCTCTATCTAGAAGGCCAGATTTCACAAAGCCAAGTGCCTAGTAAAATAGAAACCATCAAGCAATACTGTGGACAAAATGTACCTGAGACTCCAAAATCTGCTTAGAGACTTTTTCATCATTATCCAAAGACTTGAAGAAGACCTCTACCATGTCAGTGGGTTCAAGCGCGGCTTTCTTTCTCAGTTTCTGGATCCTATTCACAACCTGCAAGCAGAGTTCAGCACCAAAGAAAATCATCAGGAATCTCCCTACACAACAGTAACCAATCAAAATACAAGTAAAAGTTCGACTATATCTGCAATTAATCGCATTGAGAGTAACTTCTGAGAATACCTCTCGAGCAACTCCAGCCTCAAAGAGTGAATCATCAGTACGCAAATCCAGTATCACTAAAACATCACCTGTATGTGCAAAGAATGAAACAAAACTATTAAGAAATCAGATGAAACATAATATTTAAATTTGTGAAGGAGGAGATGTTTACCATCCCCTGCTGCATCCATTTCATCCTCTTTCCTATTATCAGGACGTTTGAAACCCCTAACAATCTACAAGTACATTAAAAGTTTGAGTTATGCTATAATAATGATAATAACAATAATAATAATAATAACTCAAGCATTTTGAGGCAGTGCAAGAGGTGCAAAATAAGCAACAAAATCATTCCCGAGAATTTTGAATATTAAGATGAGCAAAATAAAATCTATTTTTTTCAAAACCTAAACTCCTGCTTCAAAATTAATATTGTGCTCCTGCTGTGGCAGCCAAATTCCATTTTTCTGCCAAAGTACAATCCAAATTAATTCTGAAGACAAGAAACAGATTCCTACTTAAAGAGGTTTGACTTAACTACAATAACAAGAGGATTCTCTACACATGCAATTCCTTTTCTCCTCCCACCCTTCCCCATCAATTCTCTTTTCCAGCAACTTATGTAGTCATCTTCAAGCCAAAGCAACAGACAGATATTCACAAACTGGCAGCACTTTTGGGCCACAACTTGCAATTACTAAATAGGGCCAGCATAAATTTGCAGGAACCTTTGCTTTTTCAGCTGCCACTTTTTTCTCATTTCCATACCTGACAGGCAACTGACCTATTATACCCTTTGTACCCAGGGTTCAATAAAGCCAACAAAAGAGAACCCATAACAGAACTGCTCAACTCTTTCTGTTCCGACCGACAAATATGAGGAATTTAAAGATGCAAGTAAACATCATATTCACCTTGATATCAGTAAGCTTCAAAGTGTGTGAAGCAATAGTAAGTTCTCCCGCTTTCTCAAAAGCAATTATATCTGCGGTTGACATGGCCTTAACTTCTTTGGCAACAACACCCATCGACTTGCCCAACCTTTTTCCCAACACACTGAGACAAGGGGAACAGCTAACGAGGTTAATTCAGAGAACAACAAATGAAGACAAACTTGGCAAATGACATCTAGATCACCTGAAATCTGGTTCTGCACGCAAAGAAGCATACTTCAATGTGTCATTGCATGGGACCAAAGATTTAATGTTTAGCTCCTCGAGCACATACTGCAACCAAAAGAATCACAAGTATTGTGCTCCAACTTTATCACATTGATATATTAGTTAACTAAATTAGAGTAATGAAATAATGTAAATAAAGGATTATAAGACTATATTTTTTTTACAAGGACTATAGAGACAAAGCAAAGAATAAATAATAGAATAATAGGTTAATAACACTTCAAAGGCATCAGAATGGAATGCCTGTAAAAAGACAACACTATAAC